TACGACACTCATTTGGAAAAACCTCTAGTTTGATAACTGAGTCGATCCCAAGTCCAAGCTATGTGCCTTACCAAAACCGAAACCACTGAAATTTATCTCATGAACAATAACGGGTGGTGGTCAAGTGACTCAAATCGGTACCACTCGAGTGCTTAGGGCCCTAGGGTGCGAGGTGCAGCAAGCATCACCCAACACTGGAGGTAGGCATCTAGTGTAGAAGAGACACATTGACCAACATTTCAGTAAAAACTTTCTAGTAGGTCAGCTAGAAGTTAATTGGTGCTAAAAAGGAGTGTCGTATAAAAATACCCCGTTAAGAGGTTTCATGAAAGTGAGAAGCACTTAGTGTGGGCTGTGGTTTCCAACGAAAGGTAAAGCGTATATTCCAAGCAAGGTAGCAATATGGGATAAGATCAGAAACATACAACTTGTATTGTGGTATGATTGTTACAAGCACGATGACTAACCGATAGGCTTTTCTGGCCTGATTAAGATCTTTCATTGCGACACAAGCTGCACCTTTCCTCAAATATCCTTTGATAAACGTTGGATCTAATTCGATGCACGAATTGCAGTCTTTTAGGGCCAAGGAAAATTCCATTAATTTTGTGTAACATGCTGCTCGGTTGCTATACAGTTTCGCGTCTTCCGGATTCCGCTTGATTGCCTCAGAATAATGTTTAAGCGCCTCCGGATAATCGCCTTTCTGGAAGAATTGATTTCCTTTATTCTTTTCTTGTTCTGCGATTTCGGGGTTGATATACGCCAGTCGCTCCTTTTCCTTGAGTTTATTGGTAATCTCACGAGCCTTCTTCTCGATCTCTGGTTGTCGACATTCAGACAAAGATTTATCGTAATACTTTTTGGCATTTTCAAGGTCTTCTTTTTTCTCGTAACAACGAGCAGCACGGGTATACGCCTTGGCAATTGCGTCGTATCCCGCCCGGTTCTCTCGTCCAACTTCTACAGCACGCTCACAAAGTTCGATGCATTTGTCATATTCGCCCATTTCAAAATATACTGCTGCTTTGTTTGTGAGATAAGTTATGCAAGTCGGCTCCAACTCAATCGCTTTATCGTAGTGCACGAGGGCTTGCTGAAAGTTCTTCTTCTTATACTCTGCATTTCCCAACTCCTTCTCAGCAACAGCAGCTGGGTTTGTCATTATGTCTAGAGAATGGAATAGAGAGATAAAGCGCAAGGATACCATAGATCAAAACAGAGTTATGTAGTTTTCAAATAAAAATATGATGCGTCTCATGGAGCTGCTCATTTTAAAGTAACACGTTTGTTCAGTGGTGTCTGGAACACATGTAGATGCGACCCAATTACCGTTTTCATTCCTGTGTAGTGATGAAGCAACTCCCATTCTACATGCTCCCTTCCTCCTGTGCATCTCACTGTTTTAGCACACTAATGCCACCTCTTCGGTCAGCACGTTTGCTTTCACTTTCCGCACGCTTCCGTATCTCCTTTTTAATCTGCAGGTCGTAACAATACAACTACACCTGCTGTGTGCTCTACAGTATCATTAAGAATTTATTTCACGGACCGGGGATTTATAATAAACCTCGTCAAATTCAACTGGTGCGTATTGTCATTCTGACCATAGGGAACGGAACTAATGGAGTGAGGCTAAAGAAACTATACCATCTTCTGGCGGACGCAGCTTCCTCTAAAAATCGACGGTGGGAAACCGACGTCTTGTACTGTAAACGCTTTTCAAACAGTAGGTAAATAACCCTTCTGGAGGAGCAGTGGCTTATCGGGTTGATTGCGTCTTCTTATCGGACACCCTGAAAGTCAAAACGAAATCCATTTGCCTTATGATTAAACTGTTCGGGCAACCATCCAATGATATGGTTTTCAAACCACATTGCCACCTTATGAACCAGACATCGGCTACCGATGGATCCGGTTATTATTCCTCAGAAAAATTTCACATTGTTGGGATGCCTGGCTATATCATGGCTACAAGGAAATAAAGGACCAAATTGTGTGGGAAGTAATTGTATTGGTATATGCCAAGTGCCATCTGGCCATAAGTCTTTTGACATACCGGGTTTCTCGTCGACACTCCACATAAGTATACTTCCTCCATTGCTTAATTACATCAGCGACCAATTTCAACTAAAACTGCGTACGCAGCAAAAGAACCACTCGATGAAAAGACTCACGGCAGGGAGCATGAAACCGCGTTCCGATCTTAACCCTGCATGAACAAAGGGAGCTTATGAATAACAGAAACAAAGAAACGATAAGTTACCCACAACCGCGTTTCACTTCCTTAAACCCATATCGGTCTTTCATGCACAGGCAAGGGCGTATGTATATACTATTCAGATGCGCGTAACTCTCCACTGCCAGCAAATACGGCACCCCTCCCTAACTTCCTCCGTTTTATCTTTCTCCTCCCATCTGAATCTCTATCTCAGCCTCCTCTCCCTTGGTACTGTGCTATCACCACGTGGTGAGCAGGACGGGTGCACCCATCCTGCGGGCACTGCCCGTCAAACGAAAAATGACAACCAAGATCCGGGTCTTTTGGGCTTCGCCTTGTGAAAAACTTCAAGACCATTGAAGTTCCATGCGTACAGGCTGCAGAACCCACTCTCAGGAAACTCTTAGCGTCGGGCAACTCAAAACTGACGGGGTGGTTCGACAGAAATGGTCCTCGCTCAATGATGAAACACACGTAAATGAACAAAACCCTGCGAGCCCGACATCCTGGTGGAACTAGACCTAAAGTGAGTGGCAGCCCCCGGATACTCAGCCATGGCTGGTACCACGTGCACGCGCACCATGGTGGCAGGTACAGCAGCAGAACATGAAGTCACCTGAATTTAAGGTAAGGTATTTTGATAAAGGATAGATAAAGAGAACTTCCTATACGCTGTCATGGAATTTTCCGTTCACGCTGACCAGTTCCACCGGAAACAGCCTGTTGCCAAGTTGCTAAGTTTATTCTAAACTATACGTTATTTTGCCATCCTTCATGTTCACTACAGTTCAGAAGCGCACTACTGGGAAATTATGAAAAGACAAAGAAACAAAAACTCACCACGAGTTGGACCGTAAACTGGATTATTCGAGAACGCGAAATCACCGGGAGCGCGATAACGACAGAGCAAGTCAACCGACCTTAGTGCGTATAAACAAGAAGTCTTGAAATCTTGAAGTGATTCACGGGTTCGAGGCTGTTGCCCAAATATCCCGGGTCCTTGAAAGGTATCTGTGTTTTCTTTTGGTTTGAATTACCTCTAGAACAGAGAGTACTGAAAAGAGCTGCAATAACCAGCAGAGAAGCTGATGTATTCATCCCTCTGTATAGGGCACTCGTCAGACCCCACCTAGAATACTGCGTCCAAG